CCTTCCCCCTCTTTCCCCCCCCATATCCCCCTCTACTTTTTGTACTCCTTACCTTATCCCTAGTTGTTACAAATAAAAAATAAATTTAAAAAAAGACTTAAAGAACTGAGCATTTCAGAAGTGGTAGAAGTTTAACGTCTAATTCTAGTGCATTTCCAATGACTTTCTTTACAAAAGAAACATAAAAATACAAATTAAAGTTTCTATTTTAGTAATACAGTGGTGCCTTGCATAGCAATGTTAATCTGTTCCAGGATTAACGTCGCTATCCAGAAACATCGCTAAATGGAACATAACCCCCATAGGAACGCATTAAACCCTGTTTAATGTATTCCTATGGGGCAAAAACTCACCGTTCAGCGAAGATCCTCTGTAGGGGCAACCATTTTCGGTGCCTCTTTAGCGAGGAATCCATCCAGAAAACAGCGGGTGGCCATTTTGAAACCGCCGATCAGCTGTTAAAAAAGCATTGCTTTGCCATGATCAGTTCCCCAAGCAGGGAACTGATCATGGCAATGCGGGAACCGATCATGACAATGCACCACCAGCCAGCCAGCCAGCCAGCCAGACGGGCGTCATTGGGCGGCGGGCGAGCAAGGGCTCGGAGGCAGCCGCCTGGGGCAGGAAGGGGCAGGCCATCCACCCTGTGCTTGCTCACCAGCCAGCCCGGGAGACACCGGGTGTCCTTGGGCGGCGGGCGAGTGAGGGCTCGGAGGCAGCTGCCGGGGGCGTGAAGGGGTGGGCCATCCACCCGGCGCTTGCCAGCCAGCCAACCCAGGAGACACCGGGCGTTCTTGGGCAGTGGGCGAGCGAGGGCTCAGAGACAGCTGCCCGGGGCGGGAAGGGGCGGGCCATCCACCCGGCGCTTGCCAGCCAGCCAACCCAGGAGACACCGGGCGTCCTTGGACGGCGGGTGAGTGAGGGCTCAGGAGGAGGGCTGTCGGAACACCCGGGCCTTGCCCTGCCTCCTGGCTCTCCCCCAGCCACCACCTCACCCTCGTCTCTGCCGGTGACAGCGGGAGGAGGGCCACTGGAACACCCGGGCTTTGCCCTGATTTCCGGCTCTCCCCAAGCCACCCCTCACCCCAGTCTCTGCCGCCGGCGCCAGGAGGAGGGCCGCCGGGAACACCCGGGCCTTGCCCTGCCTCCTGGCTCTCCCCCAGCCACCCCCGTCTCCGAAGCCCCTGCCGGTCAGCTGGGGTAAGGTATGGGGAAAAATCGTAAAGCGATTTTTCCCCATAGGGAACATCGTGATGCAATCGCAAAAGCGATCGCAAAATCTTCATCGGTATGCGGATTTGTCGTTAAACGGTGCGCCCGTTAAGCGAGTCACCACTGTATAACTTCTAAACTCATTGTGGAGGTCAAGATCTTGGAACAATAAAACATACTTGGAAATCTGCTCTTTATCTTCTTGTAACTGCAGAGTTAATTTCTGATTCTGTTCCTTTTCATGTTGCAATAGGCCCAACACATTCTAAAATGCAATAGATGTTAATATATTTAGCATTAGAGTTTAGTGAGTTTGCTTTCTGTTCAGGTCGCACAATTGCTATATTAACAGACATCCCATGACGAAAGATAACAAATAATATGTTTAAACCAACAGTGAGAGTCAGCAGCATAGGAGAGGCTTCTAGGAGTGATTCCATCCCAAAGCATTCTCTCTTGTTTTGTCAGTAATTACTGAGCAGTGAGGAATTTTATTTGTTGATAAAAATCCTGACTACTCTACTCCATTATTAAAGAAGCCAATTCTGGCGGAGATTTAGCATCACTGTTCAAAGCCCCCGAGTTGCCTGTATTTAAGTTTCCTCAGAGTAATAACTCACTGAGCCCACTGGGTGTGCACTAAGCTACCTAATGTTTTCAGTACTGTATTATGAAACAGAAGTACAGTTGTTGTAGGAAAATTGTTCTAAAGGATATGTTTTTGGATTCACTATTGTTATTTCTGTGCAAAATGACATAGGGGCTCAGCTTATGCTCAACACGTAAGCTAACTACTTTTGAAAACAGCAAGAGTTTTCACTTCATCTAAGAAGTGGAGTTTTAAAATCATACATAGAGAAGGAGAAGCCTGCAAAAGGATGCTTCCCTTTCCTGTACCTCGAATGTTATGCTTGCATCATATAGGGTGCAGACATATTCACACATGGGGGGGTGCGCAAACCCATCTTGAAGTTGGAGAAGACAACACTTGAATGCTACTTGTAACTGCATATTATGTAGGACAATATAAATAAATGCTAAATCTTCACAATATTTTCCCCTTACTTGAAGTTCTGTTTTTAGAGCTTCCCTTTCATGCTTGCCATCAAGGACCTGCTGTGTCAACTGGTCAGTCTCAAATTTCAATATTTCCTGGAGATTGTCATAGTCATCTTGCAAGCTTGTTTTTTCTTCAAGTACTTTTTCATACTCCAGCCTTCAAGGAAATAATTTTGTAGCTTTAATCATGAGGCATGTACTCTTTTGTTAGCGCCTTCCTGTCAAATCTGTGCATCTCTTCAAAGATTAGGATGGAGGCAGAAGACAAGTGAAAGCAGGGAGCAACTCAGAACAAGCAGGCAAAATATCCCATTCATGTGGCATTAAAAGTAAGGGCATACTTTGTTTTCAGAAAAATCCTGAAAAAGATCAGTCAGATTAGGACAGATTCAGTGGATGCCAAAACTGAGACGGAACTCCAAACTGGCCAATACAAACACTACTGAAGTTTTTTTTAAGTAATGTGGATTCAAAGTAACAGATAGGAGTCAGAATCTTCTTTTGAAATACCACCTGTGTAACGTGAAGTTGCTCAGATGATTTTTGTAACTTTCTGGCTGTCTGCTGTATACCCAGGAGTACAGCTGAGTTTGCAGCCTGGGTATGGCTGAGATTGCAATGGACAGCTGGAAAGATCAAGCATGCCAGTTACAGTGTGGAGTTCACACTGCGCAAACCTGATCGGATTCTGGTCAGCATCTACATTGATATTGTTTTCTTCTAGTATTCCTATAAAGAAACACCAGTGTTTAGTGCATGTGTGTTGTGGGATGTCTAATAAAAAGACTTTTAATGTTTTAGGAAAAAGGTATATTGTAGCTTTAAGATAAATAAATGCACATTATATAAATATTGACTAACCCAAACCTGTACAACGTTGAAGGAATATTTCATATTAGTGTTTCCAGTGTTCCAAAGTAATTTGGCACTTTTCCATAGGAGAAAGCAATGCATGTGAATATCATGATACTGGAATATGTTTTGGCAATCATCACACATGAAACTGTATACAGATACTATCAATAATAGTGAAAATAATCAAGAATGAAGTGGCCTTAAGTGTATTCTGGAAGGTTAAGGAAACCTCCTAGGTGATATTGATATACCTGACATTATCAAGTTGCAGTTGTACATTCATATGTCTGATAGACACTTTGCTGATTTCTTTCTCTTGATTTCTTCTGAAAGTATTATACTCCATTTTTACAGCAGACAGTTCTTTATCTGCAGACTGTAGGACAATTCGCAAGTCATGAACCTCACTGTTTAATACTATTAGGGGGAAAAAAAGAAGTAAACAAAATACTTGTCAAACTCCCCTATTGTAAAAAATTATCTCCTGTTCAATAAATAAAGTATACATTTTAAAAAAGCACACTCAAATTATAAACTTGTAAAAAATACAAAAGGGGAAAACCAAATGAAAGTTGATCAATAACTTTAAGTAAATGCAGAATTATGTGAATCATTCCAAATCTGTTTTCTTAGACTACTACTGACTCTGTTGGGACTAAGTGGCACTGATTCCCCCTATGAGTGTAGGAGCATTTCAGAAACTGGGCAAAATTCAGCTGGGTAACTACACAACTTGATGCTGCACTTGCTGTAGCTATGATAGAGCCAAAGCAGAAATACTGTCCACGAAGCACTTCTACTGGGGCATTGTGCAATTGGTTGCACTGTCCAGTCCAGGAAGGAGCTTGAGCTTCCCTGCCCACTCAACAGCTGCACAGGGAGAATCCCTATCCCACCTCCTTGTCTGAGTGACTGGCTGCCGGAGGAGGCAGGGAAGGAAAGCCCTTTTCTGGGCTTTTCTACTAGGTAGTAGTAACGTCCCACATGAGATATGTTTGCATGCCTAAAGTTGGTACCTGAAGGCATCTTGAATCCATGGCATCCAACCATCTCCTTTATGTACCCAGACTTTCTTCTGGGCCTCAGAGAGGGGTGGAATGATCAGATGAAGGCAAATGGGTGAATGAGTGTCTTTAGGCAGTGACATGCAATCTGGCATGCTCAAGAACGACCCCCTTTGCCAGCAAAGACAATAAGGGATGAGTTGGCACTGCCATTTTTAGGCACTGGAGGAAACCTGAAGCTGCAGCACCTAACTGAGCAAATCCGTACTGTTTTGATATACAAACTTACTGTTAGCCTTGTTCTCCAGATCATCACACTGCTTTTCAAGACAGTCTATCTTTTCAAGCAGGCCTTGCTTTTCAGTTTGCCAACCACTTCTTTCTGAGGCAAAAAGCTACAGTGCAAGGAAGGGAAAAGGATATTAAGAATAGAGGTAAGGGTACAGGCATGCACAAGTAAGATAAATTACATATACAAAGTGCCTGGTTCTGATTTGATTCAGTCCAGTTAAGTTTTGGAGCTGCAAGGAACTATGTGTACATCAAGAGCAATACAGTGGGGTCTCGACTTACGAACTTAATCCGTATTGGAAGGCAGTTTTCAGGTCGAAAAGTTCTTAAATCGAATCTGCATTTCCCATAGGAATGCATTGAAAACCATTTAATCCATATCTGCTCTTTTCGTCCATAGAATCTAATGGGAAGCTCCTATTCCGCCTTCTGCCACTAGAGGGAAATATTTTTCTTTTTTCCTTTTAACCTAATATGACTTAGCTTTTAAAAAAAAGGAAAAAAAGAGTTCATAACTCGAATCTAAGTTCGTAAGTCGAGTCCATATATTCCTATGAGAGCGGTTCGTAAGTCGAAATGTTCGTATGTCGAGCCGTTCGTAAGTCGAGACCCCACTGTATGGCCAAAAGGGCATTTTGCATGAAGGTTAAGGAAACACTGGAGATTCTATCAAACAGTAAAGATGACTGAACTTTCCACTTCTTCTGTCAAGAAGCATCTATTCAACAGTTCTCTCACCTCCTGCATTTGTGAAGAATGGTGCTCCAATTTATTAATGTGCTGCTGAAGTTTTATAGCTTTAGTTTCTTCTTCATCTAATTTCATCTGAAGAGAGCTTAATTCTTTCTGCAACAGGACAAATTTAATATCTTCTTAATTTACGGTTGTATTAATAAGTGTTCTGCAGCTACTAAATATAATTTCAACTGTATATTTTACATTCCTCCAGACGTTTCAGGAACAATCTGATTTATGTGGCAACACTGAAACACTTCAGGTAACTAAAAGTTTATCTGCTTTTAGATAATATGCAAGTATTTACAATTTTACCAATAACCCTACTCATGAAAAGTTATAGGGATCTCTGGTGAGGCAGCTATTGTGTGTGCCTGCATTTAAAAATTGCACCTGTTCAGAGAGGGGGTACTGGCTGTTTAGCACAGTGAGTTAGATAGCTGGCTGTGGCAGTTGGGAGTTGCATTCCTCACTGTACTTCCTGTGTGTAGAGCCAGCCTGTGTGGTCTTGGGCAAGCTGCAGAATCCGAAGGCACCCCCAGAAGAAGATAATGGTAAACCACTTCTAATTACTCTCTACCAAGAAAACCCTGAAACGGGTTACTATCAGTCAGAATTGACTTAACAGCATACAATTATTATTATTTCAGAGAGGGAGATGTAAGGTCCATAAATAACCTTCCACAACCAGGTACCTGGCAGATTATTTCAATTACACTTCCCATCATCCCCTGTTAGTTGGGGCTAAAAGGAATTTGTAGTTCTAAATGTCTGGAGGGCAGCAGATGAAGAAAGGCTAATAAATAATTCATTTAAGTTTTCATAGAATGAGAAACCACTTCCAAATTTTCTGTATCTAGAAAATCCTGGAAAGGGTCATCATAAGTTAGAATAATCGTGATGGCATGTTGTTGTTGCTAAGAAACCAAGAGTCTTAGTTAGCTCTCGCTTGAAATTTTTTAGAGTCATTTTTCAGAAATATGCTCCAGAAAACTCTGCTGAAGATAGTTGATTTAACTTTTCCATCCCACTTCCAAATGCTAGCCATGAATGGAAATAATGCCATTCAACAAGACTGTTGTATTTTGTTTAGAGATCTATACTTCAGTTTGCATTCTGTTACTTTACCTGAGCGATTTCCAACTCCTCTGCAATTGCCTCATAGGCTTGTTCATTCATCTCAGCAGGCATGGGTTCATTGAAAATATCACCCGCCATCTCTCCAGAACTCTGAGGAGATTCCTGGTTCAACATTTCAGGGGTTAACCGTGGCACCAATCTAGACCTTAACTGATAAGCTTTTGTTGGAGTTGTCATGCTCTGCAACAGACAGAAGATGCTAGATAATACATGTACACAGGCAGAAAACAGCTTTAGGGGTAACGTCTGCTTAAATATTAAGGTACATTAAAGAACTGAAGGGAAGAATTAATTTACCTTCTCATCAGTTCCTTAATGTATCTTTGCAGTATTTTCAAATAATTTTGGGCTATTCTCTCCATCAGTATTTTTGATGCCCTGTCCTACAATTTCAGGGGGTCAATAGTGGTTTTTCGAATTGTAATTTGCTGAGTAAATTTATCCTTCCCTACTCACTCTTCAGCAATCTGTAAACAAAAGTGCTATTAAGAGGTCCCATGAAATTTCAGGATGGTAGCATCAAAAGAGGAGGATGGAGAGAATGGCCCCAAATTTTATGTAAATAAAATTAGTGCAGAGTTTCAATTTATATACAGATTGTCGTTCTGCACTTTTAGTTCTCATCAGTTCTTGTTACCCTCTTTAAGTTCTTATTATTCTCTTCAGCCCTTTTGAAGTGTTCTGATGTTTGGATTCCAAGTATATGTCTTCTATGATGGGAAAAATCTATGTACAGTATCATTACTGCAACGCAGGTATTTAGAAATACGAACTCCCCAAATGACATTTGTACATATTTTAAACATGCTTTGCACTAGATCTTACACATTTCCTTGCTTTTACTATGTTAGATTGGCACACCTTATTATATCTGAAGCACCTAGATTAACTTTCAGTGTTTTAGTATTATACCTTTAGAGTTTCTATATGCACTTTGTTAAGATATGAGACCTCCTGGCGTTTACAAGCCTTAGTTGCTTCCAAGATTTTTTCAAGATGCTGGTTTGCTCTTTGTAAAGACTGCAGTTCTGAATCTAGTTCCATCTGTTTTTTCCTGTTTACAGAAACAAATGTATAATAAAAGCATTAACTCATTAAAATAAATTCCATATTACTTATTTTATTTAAAATATGTTTATCTTGCCTTTCTCCTTAAAAAGGACTCAAGGCAGCTTACATCATTAAAAGAACATAATTAAAGCCTAAAACAGTACATAGAAAAATACTAAAAAGGACCAAACAAATACTGGTGTAAGAAATGGCAAAAAATAGCAATACCAAAAAGACATTCAAAGCAGTAAGGCACAATAATCCATTAAAAAACCCACTCAAGCAGCCAGTCACTGAGGGGAAAGCACATCTGAGGAGAAAGATCTTTTCCTGGTTGCAGAAGGGCATCAAATATTGGGCCAGCCTGGCTTCCCATGGGAAGGTGCTCCAAAATCTGGGAGCAGCAACAGAGGCGGCCCTCTCCTGTGTCCCCACCAAATGTGCCTATATAAAATACATCTCAACTTTGACAAGCCAGAGAAGGTTGATTTTACTATGGCAATTCCTTCTGTTCAGATAAGGAGGATATCATAACATAGACTAACCTCCCCATCTAACAAACACAGGGCTTGTAGAAATTTCTGATTTACACCAGGAGAGGTGACCTTTTTGATTCTGGAAGAATTGCACATGAGCAAGAATAACAGAAGTATATAAGAAGAATATTATAAGAAGAGTTCAAAAAGAATAAGAGAAGGTAAAAGAGAGGATCATCCTCTAGGTTTTAATTATTCTGGCCATGGGAAAAATGCTCAGTCTACTTGTTCCTAAAGGCTAGTATTCCAGGATGCCTTCTTTCGTTGGATAAATCCACTGGTGCACTGTTATTCAAGACAAAGATGCCTGAGATAGAATTCAAGTAATTCAATGTGACAACTGTATAACTTCCTTTAATAAACTACAGTAGGACCCCCGTATCTGCGAGGGATAGATTCCAAGACGCTCCCCACAGATGTCTTCCAAATGTAAATGATGAGCAGTCAGGAGGCAAGGCATGTGGTTCTGAGGAATGCTTGAGCAGAGGGCAACCTGTCCCTCGAAACAGCTTCCAGGAGGATGTGGTGCTGCTTCCTGGCCCAAAGAGGCACAGAGAAGATGATGAAGGAGCTGCCCTTCATCTTGGACTCTGGTCAGCTGCAGTTAAGTGAAACTACAGTAACTGAAAAAGCAGATATTGGGGAGGGGGGGTACTGTAATGGTATTTTTCCAGAGGAAGAAAAGGCAAAATTATCAACTTTATAAAGCTGCCTGATGAAAGGCAGAACAGCAGAGTCACAAGTATCTACAAATAGGACCACAAGTGCTAAAAACTCTGAGGATGGTGCTTCAAACTTTGTACAACTGATGGCAATGGTAATGATGGAGTCCGTACTTCACTTCTCTTCATATAGAGAGGGATTCTTTTAATCCAGAGTTCCTATCTTGCAAATGACATGAACATGGTTTCATAATGATGATGCTTATAGAGGGGCCCAGGAGGTTGAAAATGGATTCTTGGATCCCCTGCCCTTGTTTAATTCTAGTCTGGACCTTTATGACATTAATGGAAAATGCATTCCTTGAACTGGAATATACCTATTTAAAGGGAAAAAAGTTTATGGAAAGTTTGTTTTGAAGGTGTGACCTAGTCTTGGCAGATGACAGAATTCTCATCTGTCCACAGTCTGGACATAGTGACCAGTTTGACTTGATAAGTTCTCTTTCATCATTATTTGATGCCAATTTCTAATTATTTTATTATGGGAAATGGCCCAACTTTGCCTAAATTTATTTTGCCAAAGAAGCTTTTGATATTGCTATGGTCATTTCTTAAAGGTCTTTAATAGCACTTTCTCATTTTATAGCTTTAAAGGAGTATTACAAAAAAGATTTTTGGAACAGGAATATCCACATGAGAAACAGTATTTAAAATATTTTTAGGGAAAGGAGAAGAATCTTAGGACACATCTTACTTTGTTAATTCTTTGAATTCTTCATGTTCTTGTTTGGAACTTGCCAGTTCACTCTGTGTATGCAGCAGACGTTCTTTCAGCTTTTCAATAGATGCTGCTGTACTGCTGTCTGTTGACAAGGGGATAGAACATGCCTGCTGGCCTGATAGGGATAAAAAAAGTTTTCTTAGAAGTGTTGAAGATACCTGGTAAAATAATCAGTTACGGTGATTTTTAAGAAATAAAACATTACTGATTCCTTCAACTCCAAGGTCTCAAGGCTCTCATGGAATCTCTTGCATTGTAACAAAGCCTTTGTAGCCTCCTTTAATTTCTGAAAACCACTGCCCCCGGTAAAGACATCCTGGTAGTGCTAATTTTCAGAAACTGTAGACATCCCCAACAATCTTCCCAAGACAAAAAGGAATTCATAGGTGCATTAGGACTTTTGTGTGCTGGAGGGAATCAGAAATTTGCTACTTCTGAAAACCCACCGTGTCTGATGGTATCATCAGCCTTATACAGTGTAATACAATTTCAGCCAATGATTTTTTTTCTGTTTTGATATAAAACCTACATAGGATCTGAAGCATTTTACAGAATATGTCTTGTTCCTGAATGCATATTGAACATTTATCACTTTTTAAAATTTTTACAGCTGAATCTTCTTACTTAGCCAATGAAGAAAAAAAGATGCTTCAGGCTAAATCCAATTGTTAGTCCCTGCTGGAGTTGGCCCAGTGAATCAATGGGGCTTACATAAGTGTTGCCTTAATAAGTACTGTTCATTCACTAGATTCAGCAGGGACTAAATGCTGGATTTAGCCCTTAATTGTACAATATTTAAACAGCAGCCTTAGACAATGGGGTAATAATGAGCCTGGGCAATATGATTTTAGATTATAGGTGGGTGAAGACTAGGTTGAATACTTCCTTTGCCTCTCACACATTCTCCAGACAGACACTTGACTAACACTGATTTTGCATTCTGAAAAATAGGTATTGGATTGTAAACATCTTTTGCTATGGTTTTTTGGAAATTTCCTTAAACATTTCTTGTATAAATAAATCAGGATATTTAAGAACAGTTTTTTGTTAGCAAGAAATAAAAAATAATGGTTTTCCAATGCAAGTAGTAGCAAAGGCATTCCAACTTCAAAGTAACCCCAAAATGAAAAACATAAGTTTAATACAGATGTTATATGCACTCCAGCATGCATATTGTGCATATACTATTGTCTACGTTCCAGTTCACAATATAAGCATAAAACATTCTGCTGCCAACAATTAGGCTCTATTAATTCCTCAAAAAGAAACTACAGAGACTGCAATTTAAGAATAATTGATGACGAAGATCAGTGTGACTTAACAGTGCTCATTTGAAGCAATCTCGTGGGATTAAGAATGCCATTATGTTCATCAATCATGTTTTGTAAGAATATAGTCCATGTTTTAGCTAAGCTAAATGCTCAGAGGAACAGATACTAAAACAAACTGAAAAGCAAAATACAAACTCAATGAGCAATTTTTAAGGGAAAAGGGATCATATAAGTCAAAGAGTGCACAATCAGAATCTTAATGTGATTTTATTTTAGCATAAACGAAATTATGTACATCAGTGTGGCGAATTGCAGTGAATTAACACAGTGCCAGTTATGTGATCAGCATGTGATTAGGCATGTTAATTAAGTGCAACTTGCTGCCACAGCTTATGCAACATAGCTTACTCTAGAATAAATCAGAGGTAAGATTCCAGCCAAGAGAGGACAAAACAGAAGCTGTTTCTAATGTAGTGCTTGTACCTCTATTGTTATACTCTCTGCCTGAAACCTCTAAGAAAACTTTTTCCAATTCTCTTATGGTCTGAGCATCAATTTCTTGTATTCGTTTCACAGACTGTAAAGAACGGAGTTGTTTGTTCTCTTCTCGGAGGACATGGTTCTCCATGGCATATTTTGCAACACGGGGATGTTGCTCCACCTGTAGATAACATTATGTTAATTTATATTGTAAACAAATCTCCAGCATAAACAAAACTGACAGATATGTTATTATATTGGTAGAATATTTTAAACAGATTCACTATATTTGTTATGCTCTTTCAGTGTCTGCTAGTACATGTAAAAGCTTGGCCATGACTAACTTGCCTCTTTGATTTTGTACATGTGTAATATGACTAATATGTACAGTCTACATAAGAATGACTTGACCTGGATTTGGTCCAATGTGCTTAAGACCAAAACTATACTTATTAACACCCCCCACCTCAATTTTAATTCATTATCTTACTTTTCTACAGTACAACCCACATGAAATTTCTGAAACACTTGAGTCTTATCTGACTCTAGATGAAATAAGGAGAAGCACTCTTTTATAGGTAGATAGCATCAACCTTTATAATTTTATAATGTAGTCAATATTTTAGCATTGTTTTCAATAATAAATGTCAAATATACTTGAAAATACAAATGAAATCAATAGTCACCTAAAAAGAATACAAAACACACAAAATTGAAGAAATATCCATAATTTACAAAGCAGGCTGAAGTCAGTAAGTCAAATGAGATACTACAAACCTACAATTAATAACTGCTCATGTAGAACTGGTTTTCAGACTACATGGATGAGCTGCTACAAGCCTGAGAAAAGCACATACCCTCCCCTTCCCTCCATAATCAGGACTTTGACAGAGTTTAGGCTTATTTTCTATGAAAACCGATTTCTTTTTAATTACCTAGGAACCAGATATTGCCCAAAATCTGGTTGTAAGTCATAACTAGAGTAGGCGCATTGAATCAGTAGGGATTTGGTCAGTCAGATCCTCCACACAGTCCATTGATCCAATTAGACAATTCTGCTTGTGACTTACTATTGCATTTCCAATGGTTTTCAGTATGGTTTAAAACCTTTTCCCCCTAAATGAGCTAATTTTAAACTGTGTGTTGTTAAAAAAATAAATTTCTTTTCTGTTTCGCAGTTAGTACAAATCAAAGTCAATCCCATGTACATATTTTACTGTCTACTGCGGAGAACACCTAACTTACTTCTATATTTAAAGCAGTGCATCTCTCAGTGTAAGCTGTTAGAGACAAGAACGGGTAAGGACCATTTCTTGCTTGTGTGCTTTCTGGAGGCATATGCATTATCATAGCTGGAATTTAAAACAGCATTAGATTTGTGATTCAAAACGTATTAAACAAAACACAGCTACCTGTTCTCTGAGAGTCTTCAGTTCCTTCTTCAGTTCTCCGATCAACTCCTCTTGTTCTTTGGGCAATAAGCTGTCATGATCTTCTTTATGTAGTTTTTCCATGCGAGCTATGTGATCTTCTCTAAATTTAATTATCATTTTATTGGACTGAATGAATTTCTCCTTTTTGACACAGACATCTTCTAATTTGGCAACTTTTTCTAACAGCACCTTAAAATAAAGACACCTGATTCAGTGAGAAATTGCAATAATGAATCACAGATACAGTAGGAAAAAAGTATCCTTATCTAACTCTATCTTGGGTAAAATCAATGGATCATCATTAAATTATAGCAAACAGATATTTAATATTCCCATTCATGTTTCTTCCATATTTCTGGTTAAAACACACAACGACCATGACTTCAAAGCCATATTTTCCAATCAGGGTTGAGATGGGGTGGGGTGGGGATTATTGTGGAAAAGCAGAAAGTTTCATTGCTTGTACTGTTCAATGTGTTACTGTGTATTGCTCCTTTTTTTCTCACCTTTTTTTCACTTTCAGATTTTTCCAAGAACAGCATAGCTTGAAGAAATCGATTCCTATAATCTATATGTCCCGCATCATGTGCTCTGGTATCTTAAGAGAGAATTGAAAATAAAGACTGATATATAAAGTAACATTTTTTCTATCTATATTTATTTTAGGTGGGTTTTCTGTATAATTAGAATTAATTTTATATACTATAATTAAAGTATACTGTATCATTTAATTATTATGATTAAATTATGATTAAACAAACTGGTTTAAATACATCTAAAACAAATTCCAGACACAGTGAAACGATTACACTTTAAAAGCAAACTTTGTACCTCCTCCAATGAAAAACTTGCTAATGCTTCAATTGAAACATGCCAAAATCCTATATATGTCTGCTCAGAAGCCAGCTCCACTTGATTAGACTTTCACCTTGATTCATGCAGGATTACGTACACCTAGATCAATTTATTAGTAAAAGTTTACCTGTGCCTATCTGTACATTCCTGTTCTCCCTCCCACCTCACAGGACAATTAGTATTCAGTGCCTACAAGCATAGGGTAGTGCAGTGTATACAGTGATGGACCAGGACTCAGGAGACATGGGTTTGATCATCCAGCTTTGCCATGGAAACTCACTGGAAGATGGAACTGGTAAAACCACTCCTTAAATACCTCAATTAGCTTGAAAACCCTATTATAATAAGTCTGACTTGAAGGCACATAAATTCCACAAACGTGGAAATGACTGCCTAGAGTTATATTCCTACACTCTTAATAAATTAAGATTAGTTTTTTTTAAAAAAATTAGAAATACAAAATAGTTTGATGGATTGTTCAAAGAGATTTTCCTAAAAAATACTTTTTGGGAAAAATATACATGTACAGGAAAGTGTTCATTACCTGTAGAAAGTGAAGTGTCGTGCACAGATTGTCCTAAAGCAAGCAGAGCAAGCTGCTCCTTCAGTTTCTTCACTTCTGCTTGTAACTGTTTTACATTTCCTTGTGTGTCTTCATTTATCACAGCCTTGGGTAAAAATTAAAAAAACACTGAAATACATACATACACATACTTGATAGCTGAACAAGTTAAAGCCTTTCACTAGGAGAAATCCAAACCCATGGCTGCCATTTAAAGTATCACACTTTAAATCAGTGTAAATCAATAAATTACACATTGATCTTACCACTACCAAAACAACTGAGGAAGGCAAAAGCTGAAAATTTTGCAAAAAAATTAATTACTTTTACATCTCACTCTTACCAGTTAATCTAATTTAAACATATGTACACTTAAAATGTGAAAACCAGCTCATTATTGCAGAGTGTAACCCATCTACCAATGCAACAAACAGCAGAATTCTAAGTAGTTTAAGCAGGCAGAATTGCACTCTAGGCATTTATTAAATATTTGTAACTAGAATCATAACTTTTCTCTTTGGAGCTGTACTATTCTTACATTATGATGTTTAGAAACAATCAGAATCTACTTTTATAAAAGTTGAAAGGCATGTAGACAGCATTGTTACATACAGCTATGACATCACCTGCCCGTCACTGCTGAAGCTGTGAGTCATCTACCAATAGCGTGACGGAGGGTGGGACATAAGGGGTGGAGCTGCTGTATATAAGGGGAGTGAATGGTGTGAGAGATTCAGATA